GCTATTGCTTATAACTTCTGAATGGTTTGACCAAATATCACAAAATTGGTCTCTTTAGATTCAAAAGTCGAACCATACCCATGTCAGCCGTTTTGGGCGTTGGCCATTTTGAATTTTGTCATAAAATGCTATATTTATGAACGCATTGCCGTATTGTTACGAAACTCGGTATGTGTCTTCGGCACCACGCCCTGATGGTACTCAAAAAGTTCGGGGCATCGCCCCCTTGTGTTCAAAAGTTATAAAGAAATTTCTAAAAATGTTAATAACTTTTGTTTACATTAGCCTATTGTAATGATTCCTTGGATCATTCTGAGAACATCTATACCAATTATGCCATAATTGGCTGAATTTTCTGTCCGCCATTTTGATTTATGTTGAAAGTCTACTTTTTCGAACTCCTTTACCATTTTTACCAAATTTGGCTAAGATCATCTTCAGACCATTCTGGCAGAAAGTTATGGATTTCGTTTCGATATACAAAATGGTTCTCGTTTAGCACATCAATGAATTTGCTGGAAAGATGCCAAACTGCATCTGAGGCTGTATCTCTGCAAAGCTTTGACAAATTTTTACCAATATCAAGTTAGACCATCTTCAGACTGTGCTGACAAAAAGTTATGGATTTCGTGTCGATAGACAAAACCATTTTTGTATAGCAAAGCTACAAATTTTAGGCATGATGCCAAAATGACTTTAAGGTCGTATCTCTGCAAAGCTTTGACATATTGACACCAAACTTTTTGTGTGCCATTGTCTCATCACATAGAACACACCACATCGATTTGATAACAGTGCCACCTATTGTTCAAAAGTGATAAGGCATTAAATCATATTACTAGTGGTTGTATTTATGATTTTTCAGTCACTGCAACTACAATCATCCTAAAATGGCTTTAATTACTCATTGTTGCAGTTGGTCTGTTGCTCTATGCCATGCTTAGTGCCTCATTTTGCCTCTGGTGTGCTTGGCCCCTTAATTGCTGCTTGCAGCTATATTCATCATTATTATTATTATTATTATTATTATTATTATTATTCATTAATAAAATTTAAATCATCAGTGCACAATTTTTCACACCACAATCTGTCAAGCACATCTTACCAGCAAACATATACTTGTTCACATCCTTCTCTTCACTCTCTGAGGCAGAAGTCTCCAAATGCATCCTTTCTAATCATCCTACTACTTGTCCGCTTGATCCTATTCCATCTCATCTCATTCAAGACATTTCTCCTGCAGTTGTACCTACACTCACTCACATGCGTCAAGCTAACTGAGACTTGTTATAGCACTTGCATATCATTGCTCTTTTGTTGATTTTGATTGCTTCCATTGTCCTCATTTGTAAGTCGCTTTGGATTAAAGTGTCTGCTAAATGACTAAAGGTAATGTAAATGTAACATCAATAACAATCCTTTCTGAGGGAGAAAGTACAACTGTGCCAAGTAGTTCATTACAGTTGACATAATTATCAGTCATTTCAAATCTAATAAAATATGTATTTAATTCATTGACAAAACAAATTTCATTATCTGTCATGATAGATTTATTTAAAGATGTTAGTCCTGTCATTGTTTTTAAAATATCCCACACCTTCTTATTGTTATTGGCCTTAAACTCATCTTCTAAACGCTGTCTATAAGATGCTTTAGCTTCCTTTAGTTTGATTTTTGTGTGTGTTTTTTTCTGCCTAGGTAATGTAAAGTTTTATTTTTAAAAGCTGTTTTCCTCTGATTCATAACTTTGTTAATATTTTTGGTTACATATTATTATTTGGATCAACTATGATCTCTTTAGTAGGAATAACCAACTGTACGCAAAAGTTAATCACTTATCACCTCAGTCCTTTCATCTAGCTAACCTTCATGAAAGATTTCCCAGTCTGTCCATTCAAAGCAGGCTCTCAATTATTCTCTAGTTTCATTTGACCACAGCCTAATCACTTTCTCTTCCGGTTTACCTCTTTTAAGTTTAGTTTTATAAACTGGAATCATATGGACTACATTATAATCAGAGTTAAGTATCGGTGGTCTACGCCTAGACACATAAGCATCCTTCATATTCACAAAGCATTTGTCAAGAATGTTGTACTTTCTTGTTTCTGACTTTACATATTGTTCAAATCCCAGTAAAACAGATTCCAGGTTACAATGATTTAAGTCTCCAAGCACTATCACAGGTGCATCTGTGTACCTAAGCTGCAGTTCATGTACGTGATCAGCAATCAGGCTGGCCGCTTGTGTCGGTTTGCCACTGGGCGGGACGTACACCACAAACAATAAAATGCATCCAAATTCTCTTGGCAGATAAAAGGGTCTTAAAATCATGCCTAAATTTTCCACATTTGGATCACAGATCTTACATTTCACAGAGTACGCTCAGCACCATTTATCATTAATGTACATACACATCCCACCCTCCTACTACTTGTCCGCTTGATCCTATTCCATCTCATCTCATTCAAGACATTTCTCCTGCAGTTGTACCTACACTCACTCACATGCGTCAAGCTAACTGAGACTTGTTATAGCACTTGCATATCATTGCTCTTTTGTTGATTTTGATTGCTTCCATTGTCCTCATTTGTAAGTCGCTTTGGATTAAAGTGTCTGCTAAATGACTAAAGGTAATGTAAATGTAACATCAATAACAATCCTTTCTGAGGGAGAAAGTACAACTGTGCCAAGTAGTTCATTACAGTTGACATAATTATCAGTCATTTCAAATCTAATAAAATATGTATTTAATTCATTGACAAAACAAATTTCATTATCTGTCATGATAGATTTATTTAAAGATGTTAGTCCTGTCATTGTTTTTAAAATATCCCACACCTTCTTATTGTTATTGGCCTTAAACTCATCTTCTAAACGCTGTCTATAAGATGCTTTAGCTTCCTTTAGTTTGATTTTTGTGTGTGTTTTTTTCTGCCTAGGTAATGTAAAGTTTTATTTTTAAAAGCTGTTTTCCTCTGATTCATAACTTTGTTAATATTTTTGGTTACATATTATTATTTGGATCAACTATGATCTCTTTAGTAGGAATAACCAACTGTACGCAAAAGTTAATCACTTATCACCTCAGTCCTTTCATCTAGCTAACCTTCATGAAAGATTTCCCAGTCTGTCCATTCAAAGCAGGCTCTCAATTATTCTCTAGTTTCATTTGACCACAGCCTAATCACTTTCTCTTCCGGTTTACCTCTTTTAAGTTTAGTTTTATAAACTGGAATCATATGGACTACATTATAATCAGAGTTAAGTATCGGTGGTCTACGCCTAGACACATAAGCATCCTTCATATTCACAAAGCATTTGTCAAGAATGTTGTACTTTCTTGTTTCTGACTTTACATATTGTTCAAATCCCAGTAAAACAGATTCCAGGTTACAATGATTTAAGTCTCCAAGCACTATCACAGGTGCATCTGTGTACCTAAGCTGCAGTTCATGTACGTGATCAGCAATCAGGCTGGCCGCTTGTGTCGGTTTGCCACTGGGCGGGACGTACACCACAAACAATAAAATGCATCCAAATTCTCTTGGCAGATAAAAGGGTCTTAAAATCATGCCTAAATTTTCCACATTTGGATCACAGATCTTACATTTCACAGAGTACGCTCAGCACCATTTATCATTAATGTACATACACATCCCACCCCCTTTGATTTTTCCTGAGTCTTTATCCCTGTTCGCTCACACAAAGGTGAATCCATGTACCTCAAAAAGAGCGTCGGGCATTGTAGATTGTAACAAACTTTCTGTAAAGCATAACAAAGATGCCACGCGGAATTCGTTACAATACCTTGTATAAGATCTTATGATGTCCATATTGTTCAATGAGCACAAACTGAAGATGAGGGATGGCAAAGGCGGCCGAGTACATCGCCGTCGGAAGTGATTCCGAATACCGCCTCTCCTTCCTTGTTTCTTGTCTTTCGATCTAATAATTTCATGTGGTATATTTTCCACCATCAAGCTTTCTAAGTGACTTGCTATCATCTCTTGAGACATTTTTAAGTTTATCTCCAGCAAAGTCTTTAGGCTGTACTGCCGTATGAGCAGTGGCTTTACGCTGCTCGTATCCATCCTCCAGCTCCCATGCGCGATTGTGGTTTGCGTCTCCAAACATAATTCAGACAGGCCAATAGTCCTCAGAACTAAAACCAGGAATAGGAATAAAACTTTCTAAATAGTCATTATTCCACTTTAGTAAGACCATAGATGAACATTTAACAAGAAACATTAAACAATAAACCAAACAGACAAGCACAACATACTGAAAAGCAGTGTGCAGCTGACCAGCGCTACTCCCCAGCAAACATGCCCACTGCGGGTTTTCTGTGGGACAGTGCGGGTAGAGCAAACCCACATGGGTTAGCCCATGCGGGCCCACAGCGGTTTTGCCCTTTTGGGCCCCCATGAGGGTTTTCTGTGGGCAATCCACCATGTTAACAACACAGGAGAGCTAAAACTTTGTTTTAAGATTGGATGGTAATCAAAAAAAACTTTTAAAAGTTTTTTTTTTATCTACATGCAAATGTAGCAAGATTTCTGTGACAATGACAGTAAAATGTAAACAATAAATTGTCCATAACAAAAATGTAATATATTCAACTTGTCATTAAGTTAAGGCAGCAAGGTCAAATAACAATGTATTCTGAAAATGTGCCATTGCCTTTCTGATATGACATAATTCTCTCACAGGTGCATGTGAAATCAAGTCCCATTTGTGTTCCTGGTCTTATTTTATTTTAGTCTTTTATGTGTGTGTGTGTGTGTGTGTGTGTGTGCATGTATGTATTTATTTACTATTTTCTTTCACTCAGATTTGCAACCTATTTCACTCTTGTTATATATATATATAAAACAAGAGTGAAATAGGTTGCAAATGCCATTTCATGTTGACAAACAAAAATATAAACAGTCCAGATGTAAAATGTGCACTTAATATCTAATAATCTAGTCCAGTGTCCTGAACCTTTCAATTTTCTCTAGTTCATCGGCTTGGGCAGAAAAAGCAACACGTCTTCGCTCAGTTGTGTCTGATGTGCTGCCAGTTGACGTACACCAGTCCTTTCCATTATCACCAGAGTTCTTGCCCCCTTCTGGAGCAGACTGTCTGGTGTCATCTTTCTGCCTGGAGAGTGTAAGCCATGACTTGCTTTCCTTCAACCATGCCTTAGAACACATCTCCAGCCTGCTTAAAAAAGGTGGTTACCTCCTGCTTATTGGTGCCCTGGGAGAGAGCTTCTACATGGGGGCACCAGGGCTGTACATCCCTGTGGTCCCTCTGGATGAGTCTCAGGTCTGTGCTAGCCTGAAGGCCAGTGGATATGAGCTGTTGCAGTTGTGTATTTACCACCTGCCTCCAGACATGAAGGTGGGAGTGGATGATGTCACTGGTGTGTTCTTTGCAAAAGCTAAGAAAACATAAACAATTTTAGTTGAAGAGTAGTACATGTACTGGAAAGCTACGAGATTTATGTATGTCCTTAATTCTTCTCTTTTAAATGTGCATGAAAAAGGTTTTTGAAAACACTCATATTTGTCAGCATTTGAAATTAAATAAAGCTTGTCAAATTAAATAAATCTATAAATAAAAACGGTTGCTAATGTTTGATTTCACTCATTAAAATTATTAAATTCCCCCCATATTCATTGCAGCTAATATTGTCTGTCTCTTGAGCATCATATGTGATAGTCTATTAGTATCTAAATGACATAATACGTCAAAATGATAGTCGCATACTGCACTGAAAACCCTAATAAGTTGACTGAACTAAATTGATTGAGTAAACTCGTTGCCTCAATTTAATTGAGTAATGGAGTTTCCCAAAACTTGCATATTTAAGTTTATTAAACTTGACGGTTTTGTAGACTATTTCACACTCATGCCTTTAAATATATAGATGAGTTTGTTAAAGGCCTTCTGAACTTCGGAATCAATGGGTTTTAGTAAGAAAAATTTTCACATTTAAAACTTTTTAAAGTAAAATATCCAGCTTCCGGTGGACCGTATTCAACTTACAGAAAAAGCGCAAGTGATGTGATGTATGATGTAGGATGTACCTTAAGTGTTTTGCACTGCGAGAGGCGTTACACTTCGTAAGTTGAATACGGAAGGCGGTCAGCCGGAAGCTAGATATTTCACTTTACGTTACATCAACTAACAGGGTTAGCCTACAAGTTTAGCAGTCTGGTGGACACATGAATTGGGTGGTGGTGACTGCAGCAACAGAGGTGGCCTGGGGTGGAGTCAAATTCCCGGCCTGATTTACTGTCCCAGTCCGCCACTGGCCAGGGGAATTTTAAACTGCATCAGAAATCACACTATGCTGTATAGTGGGCAAAATACAGTAGGCTGTGACAAAAAAGTATGTCTGAATCCACAGTACTCAAAAGAGTAGGCAAAAAGTACTTGGATGACCTTCTACTTCCAGCGAGATTCTTAAGTATGCATACAATGGACACTTTACTATCCATGAGGACACAAGAGAGGATTTGTGAATTGCAGTGAAGCAACGCAACTGATGCTGGTAGGCAACATGATAATGACAACATGGCGAATGTATGTCTGGTTAAATTCATACTATACACATTCATATACAATCTAGGTATGCACCAGTTTCAAGAACAAGACCTATACTGATTCTTTTATTTTTGGTACTCACTGATACCAATGACCGATACCAATACTGCATTTGTAATTTTTTTTTTTTAATGTACAGAAACCAAAAGAACAGAAATCATGTAAGGTGGCTTAATTCATTTAGCAAATGCATACTTCCTTCAGTTTTCAGACGTAATTATGCCTGTTAAAATGTATTCTACAAGCTTTTGTTACTTTTACTGTTCATTTGTATTGCTCTGATATATTTAATCTTGAATTTAAAGCAGCAGCTTTAAGATGCAGCAATTAGATGCTATTTACACTAAGTGAAAATAGCATATTTTCTTAGCGATAGATGCTATTTACACTAAGTGCAAATAGCGATGGATGCTATTTACACTAAGTGCAAATAGCTATAGATTCTGTTTACACTATGTTAAAAAGCAGGATTTTCTGCTATTTATACTAGTTATTGCAAATAGTGGCAATTATCTGCACCTCAGTATTGTAATACATTAAAAAACAGTACGCAGTAATAACGTGTAAATTATAATTTTAATTCAAATTATTAAATGGATGCCACCTTATTGTGATAATAAAGCCCTCCCTCCAACTACCCTAACACTGCCCAATATATTATTTGCAACTTTTTGATTTTTTTTTTAAATAAATGCCTTTCCAATGAGATATGAGATTTGAAAAGGCAGGAAAAAAAGTTCGGCAAGTGGCGATCTCGAACTCGGGTCGATCACGTCAAAAAGTACGCGTTTTACCATCTATGCCACTGGAACTGGTGTTTGATGAGTGTCTTTTGTAGTGTTGACTAGCCCAATCACACGTTGGTGTGCGAAGTTAGTGTAAATAGCCTCTGCCAACAAGGAGATGTGAACAGAAACTTGTCATCAGCGCTGCCCCGCTATTTATCAGTTTTACTAATTTATCAGTAAAATAATTTAGCAGCTGAAAAACTATGACATTTCTCTGTAGTGAAAAAGTGACGTGACATGTGGCCAAGTATGGTGACCCATACTCGGAATTAGTGCTCTGCATTTATCCCATCCAAAGTGCACACACACAGCAGTGAACACACACACACACCGTGAACACACACCCGGAGCAGTGGGCAGCCATTTTTGCTGCGGCGCCCGGGGGGCAGTTGGGGGGCAGTTGATCCTTGCTCAAGGGCAGTTGAGCCTTGCTCAAGGGCACCTCAGTAGTGGTATTGAAGGTGGGAGAGAGCGCTCTACATTCACTCCCACCCACCTACAATCCCTGCCGGTACGAGAATCGAACCCGCAACCTTTGGGTTACGAGTCCGACTCTCTAACCATTAGGCCACGACTTCCCCCGGAGTTTTTGAAGCAGTTTAACTTAAAGATTCGCTATTAGACGCTGCTGCTGAACACTTTATTCACACGCGATTAATCTCTCTCTCTCTCTCTAATAATTGCATTTGCCTGCACATCAATGGCCCAAGCCTCTGTTATTAGCTCTAAAATGACGTTTTGGAATTTGCAACGGAAGGTTTATCTTGAAATAAATCATCTGAACAATATCTTGAGGTGTGGTTGTGACACCAGGTCGTTAAAATTATTAGAGAAATAATGCACTCCCGAAGTGGTAATGTGGCCACGACGCTGGAGCCTATGAATGGAACCGTCTTTCTCCATTCTCAAACAAATTAAGACATTCAATTTTTATTGACTGATTGCAAGTGCTTATTGCGATAGAAAACACTGTAACGGTTTCCACTGATTATGAAATATTTTTGTTTGCTGTACCCACTGTGGGCTTGCCCACACACACAAAAAACAACTGGGTGCAGCCAGGTGTGTTGCCTACAGATGTTTTGTTGATGTTGGTCCCCATGAGGGTTTTCTGTGGGCAATCCACCATGTTAACAACACAGGAGAGCTAAAACTTTGGGACCCACTTTATATTAAGTAGCCTTAACAACTATGTACTTACATTTAAATTAATAATTTGGTACAATGCACTTATTGTGTACATACATGTTTTTACATTGTACTTATATTTTAAAAATACCTGCATGTAATTACATCTGTAATTAATTTCTGTAATTACATTTATAATTACACTGTTGACCCATCCCTTACACCTTAACCCACCCTTAAACCCACCCATACCAACAAACCTGTCCCTAACCTTACCCATATCCCACCTCAATAGCAGCAAAAGTGTTTTGCAATACAATATGAACACAATAAGTACATTGTACTTAATTTTTGATGTAAGTACATAGTAGTTAAAGCCACTTAATATAAAGTGGGGCCAAACTTTGTTTAAAGATTGGATGCTAATCAAAATAAACTTTTTAAATTACTATTATTATTATTTTTTTACATGCAAATGTTGCACTAAAATTAGATTTCTGTGACAATGACAGTAAAATGTAAACGATAAATTGTCCATAACAAAAAATGTAATATATTCAACAGCCCATCAAATACTTAAATTAAACAGCACACGGTCAACAAGAAAATCTGTTGGTTTGTAGCAGCTTTCAGACAAGATTAGACAGATTGTATTTTACCATATTACAGTAGTTCAAAAACCCAATTGGACCTAAACAGAACACCCAATATGTATATATAGAACACCCTATATAATATTAACATAGGTGCACAGTGTCAAATATATATATTAGTGCTGGGCAAGTTAACGCTTTATTATCGCGTTAACGCATTAATTGATTAACGCAGACAATTATTTTATCGCGCGTTAACACAGTTTTTTTATTATCATGAAAGTCCATTGCTCACTGGCTCTGAATACACATACAGACAAACTATGGGTCACAGAAGGGGTGGGATGTTGATCAATACTGGCTTGGGATATGTGTCATCACGCATCTCAACCAATGAGAGCATTTGGGGTGGGCCTAAGACTGCAGCAGCGCTCACATGAACGCTCCCGACTTCTTAAGTGGGAAATAGGAATTTTTCGATAGCACGTGAAGCAGTGTTGCCAAGTCTGCGGTTTTCCCGCGGAATTGGGCTACTAACTCTGTTGCCGTGGGTTGTTTTTCATGTTCATGTTAAAGCAACTCCAATAACATATTTATCCCCTGGAACGCAAATTTTAGCAGGGGAGCCCCTCCAAAAAACGTGTATTTTACCCCCCGGAATGCGATTTTTAACTGGAGACCCCCTCGAAACTCGATTGGGCTAGTTTTGGGCTAGTTTTGAGTAGCAATTAGGTGGGTTTTCTTGTGAAAACCTGGCAACCCTGACGTGAAGGCAACAGAGAAGCGCTCTCTCTCAGCACGGTAGAGTGCATCGTTTTGTTAACTTTGTGGTTTATTATTTTGAGTCGTTTGGGGCGCGGTAACACACACGGCCCTCTCACAATATATTGCTTTACAGATCTATCACTTTTGCCGCTCAGAAATGTTCACGCAATCATGCTGCACGTATCAGAAGTTCCGCGCTTCGCTCATACTACATGCGTACCGCGCCCGAGCCCAGCTGAACTGTGCTCTGGACCACCACTTCCAACCGAGCCAGGGCCGGCTAAACGAACCGCAGCGGTCACACTAGTCAAACGAACCGGGCTTTGGGGGTCAGACGCGCTCGGGCACGGTTAAAGGATTAGTTCACTTTTAAATTAAAATTTCCTGAAAATGTACTCACCCCCATGTCATCCAAGATGTTTATGTATTTCTTTCTTCAGTCGAAAAGAAATTAAGGTTTTTGATGAAAACATTCCAGGATTTTTCTCCATATAGTGGACTTCAATGGACTCCAAACAGTTGAAGGTCAAAATTGCAGTTTCAGTGCAGCTTCAAAGGACTTTAAACGATACCAGACGATGAATAAGGGTCTTTTCTAGCGAAACTAACGGTTATTTAAAAAAAAAAAAAAAAAAGTATATGCTTTATAAACACAAATGCTCGCCTTGCTCTTTTCTGCGCGTTCATGACTTCACGTAATATGTAATTACGTTGAAAAGGTCACGCTTGACGCTTGAAAAGTTGTTGAATGTTCAATGACACATTCAAATGTATTTGTGTCAGTTTGTTAAAAATTGTCATTTCGTGTGCGTATCCTGGATGTTTTAATATTAAAAGAAAGAATTTACGCTAGGAAAGAAAATTGTGACTTTTCATATATTTCCTATACACAATTCTGAGCGATTGAAGCTGTGGTTGCTCACGTTGCACTTGGATATCAACACACCCGAACATGCTCTGATATTTAAGAGAGTGTGCAGTAATCATGTTTTCGACGATTATTTCAAACCCTCCCAGCAAGGAAATCGCTGTTTTCTGAAAGCGTCGGCTGTGCCCAATACGTTTTTACAGCAAACAGAGTATGTATGTTTTTTTTACTATATTAGATGCATTAACAGTTTTTTTCTCGTCAATGTGTTTCATAACGTGTGAATGTTTATTTATTAATAATATCTTCCTATTACTAAAGACGTGTTAAAATGTTTTTTTTTTACTCCTAAGTATCCGTCTCGTGGAAATCTAGAGTCCCTAGTGTGGCATTCTTAACTAGGTGAGCTAGGTTTTATCACTTCTTAACCCTTCCACACACACACTGTAACACTGATAAACAGACCACAAGAATAAAGGGACTGCTACCCAATTACCGACTACGCCACCCCGGGGCCTATTTCCAGGGAAAGCCCTTCATATTAGAGCAAGGCTCACAAGTTTGTTACGGCTGAGTCAGGTATCAGACATGGGTTGAGTAAAAAGAATTAACACTTTATTTTGAAACCATAAAAACAAACTTTAACATACCAAACAACAAAATAAAGAGTCACACTAGCAACACGTAAACATACCCACTTCAGAATTTGGGGCTGGCACCTCTAAGCAGGATGGAGACACCAATCATATGAGCGTAATTAAAAAGACACTCCCTCTATTAAGGAATTACGTCAGAGGTAGAGTACTGCAACACTAGCAAAAGACAATGACGCTGAGCTGGAGGTCCAGGGAGCAGGAGTGTTTTTGGCTAATGTTCCACAGTCAGCACCAGTAAAGCAACAGGACTCTGGTCCAGGAACTACCCCGAGACAGTTTGCAGATGCTCAGTCTAAACTTTGTTTAGTGCTCACAAGTCCTGAAAGTGTTGGAAAGAGGACAAAACCCTCAACATCTGGGACATATTATGCCCTCCCTGCAATACACTCCCACCAGTCTGTAAGTACCATCATTTGTGACCAGTTAACAAAGTGAAATTATGGTCAATTATGCTTTTGTGTTATACATTGGAAATAAATTAATTTCTAAAAATGTAGTATTTAATAATTTGGTGATGTTGTATCCTTAAAAATGCACAGATATACTGTAATAAATGTATTAAATCTACTATTTACATTACTAATTTATATTCAGTTATATTATAAACCAAATTTAATCCATGTAATTTCACAGCCTCCTGTGTATCCTGTGTATAAACAGACAGAAGAGCAATTTGAAGAAAGTTTGGAGCTTGATGTTAGCATGCTTTCTATAGTTTCTATAGATCACAAGAAAGATCTTAGTTTTCAGCCACTGAGTTCAACCTCAACGTCTGCCCCAAGCACAGAAGATGAGGAATGTGAAATGCATTGGAAACAGATAAAATGGATTGTCAACGAGCCCAATGTCATGGAGCTTTTCAAAAGATGTCAAGAATGTGGATCAGTAATAACAAAGACCAGAAAAGCAACTGTGGGAAGTGTTCTCCGTGTTCACTGGGAATGTGAAAAAAACCACAAGGGAAAGTGGAGTTCATGCACTGATGTTAGGGGAATGCCCGCTAATAATCTTCTTGTTTCTGCATGCACACTATTCACTGGAGCAACATATACAGACATCGCTGATTGGGCCACTTTGCTCAACCTTCAAATACCCCATAAAACCACTTATCATGACATTCAGTCTTCCTACCTTATTCCAGTC